AAAAAAAAAAAAAAAAAAAAAAAAAAATTAGCCAGGTGTAGTGGTGGCCACCTGTAGTCTTATCTGCTACAGCGGGTCAGGCAGGAAGATCACTTGAGCCTAGGAATCTTGAGGCTGCAGTGAGCTATGATTGTGCCACTGCACTCCAGCCTGGGTGACAGTGAGACTACCTCTAAAAAAAAGTAAAGTAGACCCCTAATGAATGAAAGAGTAACCTGCTCCCAATATCCATCCCCCAGCAAACTGATCACCTCTGCCTCGGCCACGGCCCCTTCTGCCTCTTTCCGTTCCTCTTCCAGAAGGCCCTCCACTCTTGGTGCCATCCAATCCATTTTCCTGACCTCGAACTGAAATAAAAATAAAAATTAAAAAAAAAAAAAAAAAAACAACAGATGGCCAGAGCACAATCAGTAGTATATATATAAATCCATAAGTGGTATGTAATATGGTATTGACAATACAAAAAAACAAGAGAAAATGAGCTGGAAGAATGGTAACATGTTACTCGTGGAATGGTAATGTGCCTTAATGGAGAGCTGTAAGCCAAATTTAACTTTACAAATGACTACAGGGTAATCTCATGCCAGAATGGTGGCTGCTGGTAGAAAAGGCTACATGCAAGAGATGTCAAGGTCTCAAAAGAGATGATGGCAAGAAAAGCAAAAGGGTAATATAATGGTTCCTGGGTCCTGCCTAGCAGGGCCCTGGCACATCCCTAGAGTCTAGACATTACTGACCCACAGCTGGTTTTGATAAAGCCCCATGCATACACTCTCGTCCACGGCTGGCACCTCTTCCCCGTCTTGGTGGCCCACCACGTCGCCGACTATAGTCTCTGTCCCGGTCTCGATTTTCTTTGCCTTCCTCGTTGGATTCCGTCTGGCCACCATCCTTCTGGCCTGAGACTCCCTTCTTCTTCCCGACCATCTCCCAGGAATGCTATAAAAGGGTAGAGCATTCATATCTAATCAATATGAACTGCTATCAGGACACCAGAGATGAAAGCTGGGACAAGTGATTGACTTAACCATTCTTCTCTCAGCATCCATGTCTAAGACACTACCATTAGTTTACTTTTACTTCTGTTTAAATATTTTATACATTATACTACCAAAAGTGAAGTCCTTTTTGGTTTTTTATTGGGTTTTTTTTTTTTTTGGAGACGGAGTCTCGCTCTGTCACGCAGCCTCGAGTACAGTGGCATGATCTTGGCTTACTGCAACCTCCACCTCCCAGGTTCAAGCAATTCTCTGCTTGACTCTCTTGACTACTGGGATTTCAGGTATGCGACACCATGCCCAGTTAATTTTTGTATTTTTAGTAGAGACAGGGTTTCACCATGTTGGTCAGGCTGGTCTCTAACTCCTGACCACAGGTGATCCGCCCACCTCAGCCTCTCAAAGTGCTGGGGTTACAGATGTGAGCCACTGCACCCAAAGTGCTGGGATTACAGACGTGAGCCACTGTGCCCGGCCGTAAACTCTTTTTTGTAGGGAAGGTACTTATAGGTAACAGATTGCAGGGATCACTTCCAAGAGGATTACGAAGACCTCTATCTAATTCAGGCACTTAGCATATTAGTCGAAGGACCTATCAATTGGGCCCTATCTTTCAAGTGTTATTTCCTGGGCTAAAAAAAAAAAACTAATTCCATTTGGAGTCAATGGCCCTCAACTTTTTATAGCATCACTCATATCAAATAAAGCAAAAAAGAAAACAATGTTTCTAAAAGTTACCTATGAATTCAGAATGAATGAGCAGCATTCTACTCTTGGGCATATTCTCTAATTTCATCCATAAATTTATGAGGAAAATAACTATATCTACCTACCTACAGACACACACAAACACACAGCAATTTCATTTAAAAACATCAGGCTGGGTGGCTCACACCTGTAATACCAGCACTCTGGGAGGCCAAGGCAGGTAGATCACGAGGTCAGGGGTTTGAGACCAGCCTGACCAACATGGTGAAACCCCGTCTCTACTAAAAATACAAAAATTAGCTGGGCGTGGGGGCACGCACCTGTAATCCCAGCTACACAGGAGGCTGGGGCAGGAGAACTGCTTGAAGCCGGGAGGTGGAGGTTGCAGTGAGCAGAGATCACACCACTGCACTCCAGCCTGGGCAACTGAGGGAGCCTCCATCTCCAAAAGAAAGAGAGATCAGGCTGGGTGTGGTGGCTCACACCTGTAACCTCAGCACTTTGGGAGGTCAAGGCAGGAGGATCGCTTGAGGCCAGGAGTTCAAGACCAGCCTAGGCAACAAAGTAAGACTCTGGTCTCTACTAAAAATTTAAAAATTAGCCAAGTGTGGTGGTACACTCCTGTCATCCCAACTGCTTGAAGGCTGAGGCAGAATGATCACTTAAGCCCAGGAGGTTGAGGCTACAGTGGGCCATGATAATGTAACTGTACTCAGTCTAGATGACACAGTAAGACCCTGTCACAAAAAGTACATAAAAACAAAAATAAAAGAAGATCAAACAGTCACAGCCCTGACCCCAAGAGACACTGATTATAGGAAGCCCTCCATCAGGTCTTACTTGCAGTGTTCTCCCTATATTTCCTAAACTGGCATCAGCCAATTTAACTTTCCCCCGTGAAAATGTGTATCTATGATACATTTCTAATTGCAAGAGGGAAAGTCTATAGTAAGGAAAATAAGCCAAACACCCTTGCAAAAGACTCTTCCTCAGGAAAATGAGCACTGTAAACAGTTTTTAAAAAAACTACACACCTTGGTTTACACATTTTTTGCAGAAAACCTGTACAAACGAAACTTCCAGAACAAACACCAACACTATCTTTTTTTTTTTTTTTTTGAGGTGAAGTCTTGTCACACTGGAGTGCAGTGGCTCAATCTTGGCTCACTGCAACCTCCAGGTTCAAGCAATTCTCCTGCCTCAGCCTCCTGTGACAATAGGTATGTGCCACCACGCCCAGCTAATTTTTCTATTTTTAGTAGAGATGGGGTTTTACCATGTTGGCCAGGATGGTCTCGATCTCTTGATCAGGATCCACCTACCTTGGCCTCCCAAAAGTGCTAGGATTACAGGCGTAAGCCACTAAGCCCAGACTCATCTTTATTATCTTACCATCAAACTCAATCATGGCCCTAGTGCTCAGTAACAACTACCTAGTATCTAATCACTTTCAGAATACAGGCTGAGTATCAGATAATATAAATTTGTTAATAACTTTATCAGGATTGAAAAAAAAAAAAAAAAAAAAGAAAAGAGTATCCTCCTTTAAGAGAAGCATGTTGAAGAACTTAAGGAATCAAGTATTAAGTCTACAACTTTCAGATAATTTCAAATGTCCACTGATGAGTAAACAAAATGCCACATATATCTACAATGGAATATTACTCAAACTTAAAAAGGAAGGAAATTCTGACCCATGCCACAATATGGATGAACCTTAAAACATTATGCTAAGTGAAATAAGTCAGACACAAAAGGTCAAATACTGTATGATTTCACTTTTATAAGACATCTAAAACAGGCAAATTCATAGAAATAGAAAACAGGGCCAGGGATGGTGCCTCATACCTGTAATCCCAGCACTTTTCAAGGCCAAGGCAGGTGGATCACTTAAGGCCAGGAGTTTGACACCACCCTAGGCAACATGGCAAAACCCTATCTCTACTAACCATACCAAAATTAGCCAGGTGGCACACGCCTGTGGTCCCAGCTACTTGGGAGGCCGAGATGGTAGGACTGCTTGAGCCCAGGAGGCAGAGGCCGCAGTGAGTCACGATCACGCCACTGCACTCCAGCCTGGGAAACAGAATGAGACCCTGTCTCAAAAAAAAAAAAAAAAGTGAAAAAGAAAACAGAACAGTCTCAGACAGTTCTGAGATTTGCATAAAAAAAAAGAAAAATAGAAGAAGTTACTTAGGAGTTGGGAACAGGGAAGAATGGGGATTTATTATTTAATGGGTACAGAATTTCTGTTTGAGATGATGAACAAGTTCTGGAAATAAACAGTAGTAATGGCCACACTCATTATGAATGATTTTTAAATCAATAAGTATAATATAATATATCTTATCATAATAAAGTTTTTTAAGAGACGAGGTCTCACTTGATAGCCCAGGCTGGAGTGCTGTGGTGTGATCATGGCACACTGCAGCCTCCAGCTCCTGGGCCCTCAAGTGATCCTGTTGCCCCACCCTCCTAAGTAGCTAAGACCACAGGCACATGCCACCACAGCCAGCAAATTATTATTATTTTTTTTGAGACAGCAGGATCTCACCATATCGCCAGGCTGCTCTGGAACACTTGGCCTTAAGCAATCTTCCCTCCTCAGCCTTCCAAAGTGCTAGGATTACAGGCATAACCACATCTAGTCCACAAAGTTTTTTAACTTCAAAAAAAAAAACTAAATTTAAAATTATAACAGGTGGAAGACTACGTGAAGCCAGATGTGGTGGCTAACATGATAACACCTGTAAACCCAGCACTTTGGGACTACAAGACACTGCCTTAAAAAAAAAAAAAAAAAAGGCTAAAATGGTAAATTTTATATTTGATTTTTGAGATGGAGTCTCACTGTGGTCACCCAGGCTAAATAAAGTGTAGTG